ACAAATTATTAAGTTTATCTAGTTTATGATGTTATGAAAAATAAGTACAAGGTGAATAAAGTTTGTACAATAGCTTCATACTTCTTGTATTTTTTTCCATAGCAACACAAATCATATGTACCATAGCCAAAGTATGTGCTTTGTTAATGTGGTGAAGACGAATCTAAAAAAATGAGAACATCCACCAAATGAAAAAATGAGAACCCATTTTTAACAAGATACATAAACGAAATCGAAGCATAAGTTTAATGAACTAACTTTAAGGTAGCGATTGGTGAAGACGAATCTAAAGGTTGAATCATGTTTAAAGAGTGACATGGATGCTAGAGTTATGCTATGAAAGAGAAGAGTGAAATATGTTAGGGTTTTCTTTTGAGAGAAACGGTTGTTATGTACTGAATGACAGATACTTTCGCTTATATATTGAAAAATATCACTTTTCATCACAGTTAACAAGAAAAATCGTGATGCAATGATTGTGCTTTTCACCATGGTTGTTTTAGAAAACTGTGGTAATAATTAAAAAATAAAAAATTATATAGGCGCATGAAATTTGAGATATCACCATAAAATTTGAATTTTGATAATAAAAAAAAATAAGAACAACCTTTGCTCTTCCCAAAAGAGAGAAACGACTATAATAATTGAAATTTTTCTTCATTTCTCAAGATGGTCACATGTCATTTAAGAATATCAACCATCAGAAGCAATAATTTCAAGCATTAAATCACCAGATGTTTCATCTTCAACCTCTTTTATAAATGCACAGTTTCATATACTAAATTTTCCTATCTTCAACATATTCTTCTTAACTTCCTATAGCAACATGAGTACTCCGTCTAAGAAGGCTAAAAACATTACCTCAACATAAATCAGTGTTGAGAAAAATAAACCATCACCATAGTATAACACCATCAGCAGTCAATTGAATAGGTCCATCTATTTGGGTCGACTACTATCAGGGATGCACTGAGGGCGAGGAAGGCCAAGAAGAACAAGAAGAAGATGAAGAAAGAGAGAAAGGTACCGAGAAAGATTGTTTACTATGACTCAGATGAGAGTAGTGAGGAGCGAGATGTAGATTGGGAAGATTCCTATAGTGCTATAGGATATTCTTTCAATGTGGAAAAAATTATGTAATCCAAGAATCTTGTACTCTTTCCTTTTGATAAATCAAAATATGAAATAAAACTAAAGCATATCGAAAATCTAAAGCATATTCATAACAATAATACAACTCTAATGAATCAGGTTCGCTGGTTCGCTTAGGGCATGTTATGAAGGAAATAATGAATATGTTTTGTTTTAAATTTATCAAGAAAACCTTTGACCACAGTTATTATATCCAACCGCATTGAAATGTTGATCTTGTTACAACAGTTGAAAAGTAAAATTGTGGTTAAATAGTTTTCAATTATTTCTTTATTTATGAACTCAAGTGACACGCGTTTTTTGTAATAGGAAAAATGGAATAAAAAAATTGTAGTTGCTAGGATTCGAAGCTTGTAACACTTACTTTATCACCACGGTTGTTTATCTCAACCGTGATTAAATAAATTTCAAAAAATAAAAAATATATCAGGTGTATTTAGTTTGCGACATTACAACGGTGGAAAGCATAACCGTAGTAATATTATATTATCGAATGTGTATTTTGTAGTTGTGTGTGTGTGTGTGCCTGTGTGTGTGTGTGTGTGCGCGTGTGTGCGTGGGCGCACATGTTGTGAATGGGTGTGAGATTATGGTGATGTTAATTATGTATTTAATGTGTGTTATGTTGTATGTTTCTCTACCTTCTCATTATTTACAATGTTCATATTGAATGTTGCTTCTCACCCCTTTGCTGAATGTTGTCCACCATGGATATCTTGCAGATACTCAGTAGTGAAGTTGTTGCTGTGTGTGGAAGGTGGTATCTCGGAGCTACTCTTTGTTTTTAGTTTATTGCACATTAGTGGTTCTTAGTGCTCTGATCTTGTAACATCGAGAACATGGTGTTTGTTATATTTTTGAGTTGATGTTGTTTTGGTGTTTAAAAGGTTTAATACTTATTTGATGAAGTTTTATTTGAGGTTATTATATGATTTCCATTGCATGATGATAATTGTTTGACGAGTTTTGAAGGGTTGTCTTTGATGACACCTTAAATTATCGAGTAATTCTTTTTATACAAGTTTCAGGGTTTAGGGTATTAATAGATAATATGTCGCTTTTCTAGTGCCCATCATCAAGTCTTTAATTAAAGTACCTCCACCAAAGTTCTTCTTGAAATTGGTACATAGGTGTCTTAGGCATAACCTATGATCAATTCTCTCAAACATATCTTTAAAAACACTTATTAGTCCTTGAAAACAGAGCATAACAAACATAAAATACCAGGTGACTTAGCATAACACATTGAATACCATACATATAATCATGCATACCAAGTGACATAGTGGCATACCTTTTCTTGATTTGAAATGAACACATATCTCTTATCTAGGCCTATAAATTTCATTAAAAGTTGTAAAATCCACCTCTAGCATTCTTTGGTTTTAGTTTCAACTACTCCAAATGCCAATAAAAAATATTGGTCATTTGAGTCCCTTCCCAAAACTATTAGCAATTGACCACCATAAGATGTCTTTAAATGACAACCATCAACATCTACAAATGATCTACATTCCTTAGTGAAACCACTTTTTAATCCATCCAGACAAAAGTAGAAAGACCCAAATCTTATTTGAATTGATGGATTAAGTCTGTCTACATTAATTTTAACAGTATTCCCAACACATATGTTTTTTAACTCAACTGCATACCTCCAAATCAATGTGTATTGTCTAGACACATCTCCTTCAAAATTTCCCTTTGATATCTCCTTGGCTTTCCATGTATTACCTGGTGTAATCCAAACCGAGTAGTTCTTCCTCATGTCTTGAATGATGTCATCAATCCTAACCTTTTTCACATGTATGCATCTTGTTTACCGCAGCCTTCGTAACCCAGTTGGACTTTGCAGTTCTATTATTCAAAACCCTATCATAAGTGTAGGTTTCCACCTATGTTTTTATTTGAAAAGTAAGATTGCTGCCTACTTTATATCATAGATCCAAAAACCTAACATTTACCTTTGCATTCTACCCTCACCCTATATCTTTCATTTTTTACGAATGTAATAAAAACTGATCATTCTATTATTGTATCCTTGAAATCACTTAAGGAATTGAATTTCATACCTAACTTAAACTCATAGTCCTTACCTAACTGTTCCTTTATAAAATTTTCATAGTTTGAATGTTTTTCATCTTCAGAGACATCTGGGTCTGAACTATCCAGTTCATCACTCACATATTGGTCTTCTCTTTCATCCACCCTTTAGGAAACCTTGGCTTTATGAAGTTTGGTTATCCTAGCAGGTGTAACTAGTTTTGGTTTCTTCTTCTTTGGGATTAATTTCTTTTTGGGTGACTTAGTGGAACAAACCTTAAACCTATATAAGTTCCCTTTGATTTCAATTATTTTATACCATCTTTGGGCCTCTCAACTTCAATTACTTCAAATCCATCATCCAATATAGTTGTTATCTCATCTTCAGTATTATTAAACTTAACCTTCCTTGCATCATCATCACTCCCAACTGGTTCCTCTTCTCCCGTACTTGATTCAATCCCTTTAGTCAGATTAATACATTAGGGCTCTACAACTTTGACATTGATGTCCTTTACATTATGCTTAACATATAAATTTCTTTCAATATTGTTTCAAATAGAATAACTCGCAACATCTACATCTCAGTCATCCATGTTAACTTCAAAAAAGTAATTATCTATACCTTCAAGTTTGCTTCAAACCCTAAACTCATTTCTTTCATAACCCCGGTCAAGAACCAATTTCAACACATCTAAGATACCCCGTTTTCCTATATTTTAATCATATATTGTGGTTTGAACCCCACTTCTATAGAAGATTATTTTATCTCTGACAAACGCCCCCCACCCACCCCCCGCTTGTGATGAAAACAACATTGAACATACTCGTACTCTATTTCAAAACAACATGCATCAGAGTTCTTGTCTATTAAACAAAGAAAATTTTAGAAAAATAAGAGAAAATGAGAATACATTCGTTCGAAATTCTTGGATGAATCAAGCTATGTAGACAATTACGATGAGCGTTTTTGAATCCAACTGTCTTCTTCTCCTTCGTAAGTTTCATCTTCAATGGAATTCTATTTAGTTGAAATGTTTGGACAAAATGAATAGAACGTTAATAGACATGAAGTAATTTTTTAATTCTATTTATTTAAATTCATTAATAAAATAAACTGTGACATGGCATTAGCAAAAAAATTGCAATTCAGCAAGACACGTAGGCATCAAGACTGACTCATATCATTTAAAGGACTAAAGTAACTGAATCTTCATATAGCAAAATTAAAATCTTAAAGAAAAAATTACAGAAAAAAACCAAAAGTGACCTACATGTCAGGGAGCAAAATAAACGGTTTTTAAATTAGAAACTCATTAACTTTATCATTTTCTACAATATGCAATTATTTACTGCACTTGTTAAAATCACAATCAATTTCTTTATATCTTCATCATTTTTTGCTAATTGAGTAAGATAAAGTACCATTCATTTTATGTTCAAGATTCTGATCTTAATAACAAACATGTAGGAATTTTTAAACTATGTTGATAATTTTTCAAATGTAGTTGTGACTTACCAAAACATGCGTTGATTGATGAATGTTCTTGCTTCAATTTTTCAAGTACTAAAGATCTAATTATGATACAGAAACATCATTCTAAGCAATGTTAACCATAAAGGAAACTGTAAGTAATTCATTTCGTCAAACCATAATTTATTTTCAGCTATATATCTAAACATTTCTTTATTGCTCTTCTAACTCACATATTGAGTAATATTACCATTATCTATTGAATCAAGAACTAATAACATATAGATTTCACACATTTGAAACTGAGTAGTGGAAGATAAAAATTATAATTATCTTAAGGCCCTTCAATCCTATCAGTCTCTTTGTGATTCACATTGATATGTTGCACCTTCTCTTGTTGATGAGCCATATCATAAGTTGAATGAAGACCAAAGAAAACATAGTAAGCCAACATTACCAAAGTGCATATTGCAAATCTCACAAAAGCTTCATATTCCAAAGATCCCATGAGAAAAACAGTTGTTGCAATTGACAAAGATGGCAACCATGGAACAAGTGGAACTCCCCAAAATTTTGGTTTCCTTTGTTGAGTCAAAAAAACCGACATTCCAAGAGTCGAAAAAAACCAAATAGGAACGGTAACAGTATATCCAATCCAACCTTTAGGCCTCAATCCCCAATAAGCTGAAGTTCCCATTGAAGAACCAACAATGAGAAGCAAAAACATAACTAGCTTTAACTGATTTTCTTTTGTTGTAACTCCTCTAACATAGTACCGCCTTACCAGAAGCGCAACTGATATCAACACGAAAACGAAAAGTGTACTTACTGATATCAAACTCGATAACACGTCCAAGCTAGTGAAAAAGGCTACGCAAGCGCTTGTAAGTGTAATCAAAAGTGTTGCGTTTATAGGTGTTCCTGTTTTGGGATGAACAAGAGCAAACCAAGGAGGAATCATGTGGGAACGCGCGATGTGGACAATGTAACGCGCCTGTCCTAATCTTCCTACTAAAAGGACTGTTGTCATACCCTTCAATGCACCGAAAGCGACGACATATTTTGCCCAATTCATTCCTACTTTCTGAAATGCAATTGAAAAAGCCGCACCTGTATCGATGTCTGTGTATTTCTGCATCATGCTTAATGAAAGTGCCATCAAAGAATAAATCACTATGATTACTGACATTGAACCAATCAAACCTATTGGTATATCCTTTGGTGGATTTTTTGTTTCTTCAGCCATTGTTGCAAGACTTTCAAAACCTCCATAAGCAAAATAAAGAATTGCTGATGCTTGAAATACACCTCTAGCTCCGTAAGGTAAAAAAGGCGTCAAATTTGATGTATCTGCGTGAAGAAACCCTGCAATAATTACGAATATGATTACAGCAGTGTTGATTGCCGATGCAATCCAATTGAGAAGCGAAGTTTTCCTTGTGCTGATCATTGCAATTGTTCCGGCGGTTAACAGAACAACAACTGCTATAGGGTCAAGTAAATTGTATCCGTCTTTGAGATGATGTGCTTTGATTCGAAACGAATCTTTCGGACGATTCACAAGGCTTGTGAAGTAAGATGTCCATGATCTAGATACTGCTGCACCTCCAAGAACGCATTCGAGGAGTATGTTACCGGCTGCTATGAAAGCAACGAAATCACCTAACTCAATTCTTAGGTAAGCAAATGAACCACCTGCAGCTGGAACTTCAACGGCGAATTCTGTGTAACAGAAAACAGAAAGCATTGCTGAAATTCCCGAAGCTACATAGGATAAGACTATTGCTGCACCAGCATGGTTATGAGCTTCTTGGCCAGTTAACACAAAGATTCCTGCCCCAATCACTGCACCAAAGCCAAACCAAATCAGGTCCCACCAGTTGAGACATTTTTTCATTTCATTCTCACTTTGTTTCTGAAGCTCTTGTGACTCGGTTGCGTCATCTGATCTGGTCGAAACACGATCCTTGAACCTTAACCATGTTTGTGAAAGAGCCGAACCATAGTTGTGCCAGCTTTGAAAGGATTCCTCTGGAAAGAAATCTTGTTTGCTCCATCTCCAGTAGCTTCTTTGTGGCTCATGGTCATCATTGACTTTTGCAGAAGCCATTCAAAAAGCTTGTTTCTTTACTGAAACTATCGAGTGATTGGAATGGGATTTTGTCACTGAAGAAAATAACAAGATTGCTTTGAAATGAAAAAAACATCTCAAACAAGTGACATAAATTATTGTCTGTTAGTGTGGAATTTAACTCTTCTTCAGCAGTCTTCTATCTCCATTCGGTGGACGGAGATATACACACCTTAAAATGATATATTCAACTAATAAAAAAGTGTGTGTTGAAAATGGTGTTGAAAATAGTGTGCTAAAGAGTTGTTTCCAACACTTGTCTATATACTGATAGAGAAATCATATTTGAATATCTAAGACTGGAACATCAGAACCACAGAATTCACACTGTTTAGATAAACCAGATAATATAATATTGAATTTAGGAATGTGAAGTGCAAAGTATGAAGAAAGTTAAGTTGGATAAAAATGACAGAGTAGTCATGGCACACACGTTTTTCTTTGGAAAATAAATGAAATTGACACAATATTCCAACTAATTGACATGAATATTCCAAGGTTTTTAACGATTTCACTATCCACTAGCTGAGGGTCCATTTAAGGTCAGATCAAAATTTTGTATACACTAATTTAATATAAGAATTATTAACACATAATAGGATTCGAATCGGAGACTGACTTAACACAAGAATTGTTAACATTTAATAGGATTTGAATTTAAAATCTTGTGAAGAACACACTCTCAATATACTCTATCCCAACAGGCCAACCCTCGGAGGTTTTTAACAAATTTAATTTTAACAAGGACAAAATGTTGTTTGACTTGAATGCATTCATATTGATAGTGCAATAATGCACATCAGTCTACACCAATTAGTGTAGTAGATTCGCATCACCAAATATCATGGAGATTATAGATGCTGTCAGTGTATGTGTCCACATATGACAATTGGATCAGAAAATTTTATGTGATCTTATTGGTGATTTTGCTAGATTGGTGAAATTTAGCACACGGTCTACAGTTGACAATACTTAAAGAGCCACTCAAATTTTGACAACTGATATCGCAGAACTTTGGGGTCCTCTATGTAATGAGGCCAGACATGCACCCTCCCCGTGTTGATTCAAAACTAGGTTCCTTCAAAGCGCAACGAAGCACGGACAACAACACCAAACACAAACACTCTGACACCAATAATGAAAAAAAATATAAATTCCTGACACCGTCACATATATGATAGTATTTGAGTTTCATAGACCATAATTGAGATCTTCAATTTTAAACAGACGTTCTTTACATTCTTAAAATGACACTACCACATATATGATAGGATTTGAGTTTCATAGACCATAATTGAGATCTTCAATTTTAAGTAGAAGAAAGTTCTTCACATCCGGTGACTTGACCAGTATTGATTTGATAAAAACATGGAAAACAAATATAAGTCGAGTTTTAAAGCATTAATATTTTGTATTGAAGCGGCCCCATTTGAGTCACCATTTCAGACCTAAAGACAAGTAATACTATGAACTTTTACTTACAAAGAGTATTATCAATTCTTGGTGTTTCAAACCATTTTGGAACATTGATCTACCGTAGACCATATGAGACAATTCTCCATCCTAGACTTTGCCAAGTATTTGGTTTAGAATCATGAGTTTAATCTGATTTCCATTTGAATCAACAGTAGCTAGGAAACCAACTTTTACTTTTTCTGATAGAATGATCTTTTCTTCGGTCCAAATCTATTTATATTTTACTTCATCAAGATATTTATATCTAGAGGTTTTCTTCAGTTCACCGAGCGCGTAAAACAAAAAACCAGCTCTCAAGTAAAAACAGACAATATTTTAACATGAATATTTATACAGAGAGACGGTAGGAATCAGGTAAAATTTTGAGCCAAGTTAGAAATATCAATATCCGATATGCCCATTGTCATGTGCAACTGAGGAGATAAAATATATTCAAAACTAAGTGACTCAGCAAGAGAAAGTAGCATTTTAATATAATTGTATTACAGAGTTATGGTAGAGCTACATCAGAAGATCATGTGTCTTTACAAAACCCGCCGGAAAGGTATAGAACACAGGTATATTATCAGATGAGCAAAACGATACATAAATATACTACTACAGCAAAGATGTAGAACCTCTAGCAAGTTGAATTCTCTGAAGACAGCCATTCTTGTGTTGCTATTAAGTCCGGAAGTACAACAGCCCCAGATTTCCTCCACTCCTCGGCTTCTGGTGTCTTAAATCTATCCAACAACAGTGCATGCATCCCTATGCTCTTAGCTGGCTCATAGTCTTTGCGCATGCTATCGCCAATATGTAAAGTTTCTTCAGGTGCAATATTTCCAGCCCTCTCGAGTGCAATCTCATAAATTCTTGGGTCTGGTTTCTCAACGCCTTCAAGGCCAGAAAAAACGCCAAAGTCCCACTCAGTTCCCTGTATCATCAAACATTATAACTATCAGACATTCTCGTCCGTGAGACATGAGTGCCTAAGACATAATTATTATGACCACATGTAAAATGTATATCAGAGCAAAGAAGCTTGAATAGAATAGTAAATTTTACTTCTGAGTAGACTAAACTACTGTTCAACGTGATTTTCTTCAAATGTGATCCAATAGAGCTTTGGATTCGTTGAAATTCATTGAACATGAATCAGTAAGAGCTTGTGTTTCAAAACGGAGGTGCTACATTCTATATTAACATTTCTTACAAGGCCTTGCACAAAAACTCAAAAGTATTCTTGCATAACAACTTGTGCCCCTATCAGGTGTTTCTGTAAGTAGCGATGCTCTATAGCAATGCTAAATCTAAATTTATCTTTTAAACAAATTTATAACTCTGAAAGAAAACCTTAAAAAATCATGGGAATGTTACCTGATTTAAGCCTAAAGCTGGAAGAATCACATCTCGATAACGATACTCAGCATTGCTAACAACCCCAACTTTGAGACCCTTTCCACGAAGCCATCTAAGAAATGGCTTGGAATCTGGAAAGACAGTATATGGAGCAGATGAGCCAAAGGATGCATAGATGCGCTTGAAAATCTTTTCAAATGTCTCCTCATCATATTCATATCCAGCCTGCCAGAAAAACAAATTTCTCCGTAATCAAATCCAGGGAATTTATGCAAGTATCGTAAATCTACAATCCATTGCTTGGTTTATATAGGTTGCAAGAAAGCTGAACACATCAATAACGAAACTTGTTGTAGAAGACAAATTTAGAGCCAAACTAAATATGCTACCTTTCCTTCTATGCTAATGCAAATAGAAACAACATAGGCATCATCACATGTAAACACCAACTGTAATGACTTTGACAAATATCTTACCCTGACAAAGGAATCCCGCACGCAGGTTTTCCACCACACAATGTTTGGCATTTTGGCCGCAAATCCAAAACACGGATACTTCTTTGCCATGTCCTTATATGCATACTTAAATCCCTCATGCATACGCTTGTAGTCCGGGCACGGACGGCCAGAAGCTTTGGCAGCCATGCAATAATAGTCACCAAGCTCCCCTTTGTAAGCCATTAGGGTGCCGGTAACATCTATAGTGACACAGCGTAGTTTCGGCAATAATGACATGGTAGCACAAATTACAACGAACCGAAAAACACCGCAAAGTATTGAATGAATGAACTCCTTCAAAATTGATATTTAAGCCTGCACATGTAATTCCAAACTAGCTTGTTAAATCAGAAAAGAAATTTCAAACTAGCTTGTTTGGCTGTAAACAAAACGGAGGAAGGGCAAGGGGATACAGACCTAAGAACAATTAAAATGCGTAAGATCTATGAGTTTATAATGAAAATGTAACAGTACAAGATTGCCATAGAAAATTCCAAAAACTAACAATAAAAAAAATCATGCCGAAATGATTTCAAAATGTAGGATATTCTCAAAATATCCAAAATGTAGCATATTCTTAAATCTCTATCATCAAAAAAGACATTTAATCTGAAATTCATTACAAATTACTAACAGTATAAGTCAAATTGAAATGATGAAATTGCCCAATAAAAAAAAAAGGGTTTCGAATAAATCAAAACACTCGAAACTAAAAACACATAGAGATGATACTGACATACATTGATGAAGCAGCATTCAGAAAAGAACAACAATCCAGGAAAAAAAGAAACTAGAGTGGGTTTATATCAAGACCCAGAAAATGTTAAGCGAAAAAGATGATTATTTTATAATTCTTGTGTGCAAATGAGAAATTAATATTCGAAAAATAAGAGATGGAAACGATAAGAATCTTATTCTTACCGGTAGAAGAGTTAATACTTTGTGTCGAAATCAGAAATGGAGTATTGTTTCATCATCAGTTCAATTTATAGATGAATTGAATAAAAAAAGGAGAAGTGTGTTTAGAGAGAGAGAGAGAGAGAGAGAGAGAGAGAGAGAGTTGTTTTGGAAGGCAGGATAGGTGAAAATGGAAATCAGTAAACAGCCCCTAGATTTATTACTACTTTCTTTTTTATGTTTATGTGGTAAGTTGGCAGGTGATGCTAATTAATAATTTTAGTTTTTAAATATTTCTACATAAAATTAAAAGTGAATTAGTTTTAGATTTTAAAATCTCTTAATTTATGTTGTTTTATGATACAGCCTCTAGTTTTACATTATTTGCTTAAGCCTCATTTTGAGAGTTTTTTTTCTTCAAATAATATATGTTTTTAAAAAATTTTTAAAATATTTCACTTTTAAGTGTTGTTGAAGTGTTGTTGTTAGTTCAATTGACGACAACCTTATAAATTTAAGTGAAGATGTCAATTGGAATGAAGATATTATATGGTGTTGTTAATTCAATTGACTTCAGTGTACAAGTGCATAAAGGTGGCGCCAATTGATCTAACATCAATGTACAAGCAAATTTTGTTTAGTATAAATAGAGGCGTCTCCTACCATTTGCTACAATTAACACATCATTTGAAATTTTTCTTTCATGTTCATCACTAGCTCTATAATGATTGTTAAAAGATATGTTCATGTTTGTTATTCTGCAACTAAACCTCCTATGAAAATGTTTTTTTGGAACATTCAAAACTTTAAGCATCTTGAGAGGAGTTTGAAAAGTTGGTTAGACGAAGATATTAATGATGGGGAACGAATTAGAAGTATCGAGAAATTTATTTCATACATCTCAATTGCAGATAACAATAATGATACGCAATGTATGTGAGTGCGAGTTAGAGATGGCGAAGATGTTAGGCATATGATGTCCGTCATTTATGACATTGTTTGATTGTTGTAATCTCTTAAGCATGTTGTGGTGTTAAGTTTTTTTATCTGTTGTTTGTGTTAAAAAATTTATCTATTGTTGTAATCTCTTACTATGTCTTGTGTTATTTGTGTGAGAAAAGTTTATGTTGTAACCAAAAGTTAACATATTATAAATAACAAGGTTACAAAATCTTACCATATTATAAATAACTTAAAGAAAATAAATAAATGTTCATGTAGAACTTGCTTTAACATTGGAACATTCTGTTCGATTGTGTCTGGGTTGACGGCATAAACCACAGAATCTTACCATTTTATCAGTCATATCCATTTTTGTTCTAATTCACGTGTTGTTAGAGCTACCCTTTTTCTTCCGTCGCATATTTTTATTGTGGCAAATTATTTCCCCTTGATATACAGATCAATAATCTTATAATGCTACCATTGGAAAGTTATTATTGTACACATTGAAAACATTTACGACTTTGTAAACATCAGAGAGAGAGATGCATGGAAGCGTCTAGGCAAACATATGAACATGCCGCAATGACATTGGAGCAAGACATACAGAAAACTTGAAATTTGTCACAGTCACATCAACCTTTATTCAATTGGACCCGATAGTTTCCATTCGGCCTACCCTAGTTGTGGTCTTGTGATTCCTTTACACTAAAAGTGTGTCTATGACGGTCAAAGATTAAAATGACACGTGTGCTAGCTTTAAGAGTTTCCCAGAGCATACGTCTTAAGTGCAACCAAATATTTTGCAAGATCTTTGTACGAATCCTCCCAATTTCTGAATACTTTTTCAATAGCCTTTGTTCTTGCAATCCATGTTTTCTTGTATGAGGAAGTATAAATATATCGTGTAACGATATGATAGATTATTATACTCACTTTCACTAACAGGTTCTTGCTAATAAGAGGCAAAATGTCTTGACATATCAGTTCAGAGTTTAATTTACGGTGATCTTGTGAAATATTAGTGGTGACATGTTACTCAGAACCCCTTACCCAACAAAATTACCGATCCACAAACACACAAATCCACAATCAAAATATGTCAGACACCCAACCACAATACCAAGAGCGTCCTTCATACCATCTCCAACAAAATGACTATTATCAAGACACCTAAAATGCATATGCCCCCAACATAACATCAAGATATTGCCAAAACACCCAAGGAACATATAACACCAACATTTCCTCATACCACATCCAAAACGCTCAGACGTCATACCATAGCCAAAACGCCCAAACATCACACCATAGCCAAAACACATAAATATCACAACAACCATATGGCTTTCAAACACTACAACAACCATTTCAACCTTTCTCCAACGAATCGTTCACATCAATGTCTCCCTTCGATTGTACAAGACGTACACCAATAACCCTTTCAACACATCCCAACTACTCTGGCATGGGTCACGAACTCGGTTACGGCAGTGTGTCGCTCCATGCACAAGACTACTTAGAAATGCAATAACTTCTTAAAGATTTTGCTGATGTTTCTAAAACCTCAAATCCTCAAACACTTTGAACGAACCAACAAAGAAAGCAATAGGTAAGAGTAGATAGGGGTGTGAAATCGGTGGTCGGAATGACCAACCCGATCGTCATCGTTAGCTTATGTAAAAGTATTTTTAATTAAATATTAATGTTTAATATTTATACTAAAAAAATTATGCTTGTACACTAGTGTCAGACCGATTGGCGCCACCTTAATTCACTTGTACATTGGCGTCAATTGAATTGACAACACCATATGTTGTCTCGAATCCAATTGACGTCGCCATTTAAATTTATAAGGTTGTCGTCAATTCAACTAGTAACAACACTTCAACCTCATCTAAAAGTGAAGTATTTTGAGAAATTTTTTAAAATATGGATTATTTGAGGAATTAATTTAAAAACAAAATTATTTGAGTAACCCATAAGCGGAAGCTCTTTTCAACCAGATACATTTGTGCCATTGTTGACATTCTTCAACGGAAATCTCAACTCACCGCTTGTGGGGATACTTTCGGTACAAGTAAGTCGGTCCTTCACTCGAAGGAGACTCTGATACCATTGTTGGGGGAGATTTTCACTAGGGAGAATTGAACATTGGGTCAAGAGCAACACAAGTGGGAGAGACACCATATATTCATCCAAAATCTTAAGGTGATAGGTGAGTGAGTTCTCTCACTTATAAATGCTCAAGTCACCATATTCATATCTAATGTGAGACTATTATCCACACTACTCACACTTGTAATATTTAATGGTTATCCATCTCATTGTTAGAAAAAAATGATGTATTTAATTTCGCATTTGTAAAGTGTACACCATACAAAGACACTATTGATATTTCATTTTATATAAGGCAAGTATTGGCGATTTTTGCTAATACATTTATTGAAAACTGAATATAAGTTGTATAGTTTTTTTAATAAATTTAATTGAAATGCACTGACAGTGTAAAAGAATTTTACACTGTCAGTTAATTATAGAAGTTAGATGTAAAAAGAAATTTGACTTTTATTTTAATAACTTGTAAAATAATGCAAACAGATGATGGTGATGAATTGACAATATAAAATTTTTTACACTGTCAATATATAATAATTAATCTCTTTTCTAATTTAGTTTTTTATCCTTCATTTTTTTCTTCATATTCTAACAAAATTGATAGAAATATATTAGTATATTTGGTCAAAAAAAAAGTATTTTATAATCGATAAAACTTAGATACAATTTTTTTATGTAATTTTTATTATTTTTCAATAAAAATATGACAAATATATAATTTTTTTCTGCACCTATACAATTTTCTCTTATATCTATTCTATCAACAATATTCAAATACACTTGTTTTATTTTTATTGAACAATAGTAAAAACTATGGAATTGTATATAAATTTCCTCTTTTTATAATTTAGCTTTTCTTATGTGAAAATTTTGTTAAATATTGATGCAGTTTTGTACATTTTATTACAACAAAAATGTCGTTTGATGTATGAAAAAACTGTATAATTTAACCTACTCATTGGTTGTGAAAATAAGTCATGATAGATTTTATAAATAAAAGAATTTTAAATAATTATTTTAACAAAATTTGAAGGAAGTTCATTTATTTTAAGAGAAAAAATTATTAAATTTTTGTATTATATACATCAGTGTATTTATTCTTACTTTAAATAAATCCGTTGTTTCATATATGAAAAGAATGGATATCATCTGTCATGTTTCTAATGTAACGGTTCAAAATTTATAATTAATAATTAAATAAAAAAACAAAGACAAATTACTTATCCATTTCTCACTCCTATTAAATAACTTTTTTTATTTAATTATTCATTATAAATTCT